CATGGAGTAGAGGTAACACTAAATAGCAAAGGCTTTTGCCATAACCCGTGGGCAAAACAGCAAAAACGTCAATTCCAGTCACTAAAGAAGTTATAACTTCAACTTGTAGAGATCTTAAACTATCATAACCCAATTTTTGAATGACATCAATTAAAGCAGCATAAACAGCCATATTTGATTATTATTATTATTATTATTATTGAAAGCAGCCTACGTCATAATTACATTCATGAAGAAGCCGACGTCACTGCAGTATTTCTGCAGTGCCAAAACGAGTGGGTGATGCTTGTGATACCAGACCCTTCCTCTCAAAGCGAAGGGGCTGGGGCCCAGACTAAGGAGAGAGCACCAGTGCTCCTCCAGAAGGGAGCAATGCTGCCATTCCTACAATGGGCACCTGCAGGCCTCCATCTCCTGGAAGTGGCGGGCCTCCAGCTCTTGGAAGCGCTAGAGGTAGCCGCCTAGTGGTGGTGGTGGTGGTGGTGGAGGCCCTACATCTCCAGCTACTGGAGGTGGTGGAACTCCAGCTACTGGTAGAGCTAGTGGTGGTAGCGGGCCTCCTGGAGGTGGTGGTGCAGGCCCTCTGTCTCCAGCTACTGGAGGTGGTGGTGCAGGCCCTCTGTCTCCAGCTACTGGAGGTGGCAGACCTCAAGCAACTGCTAGAGCTGGTGGTGGTGGTTGTGGCGGGCCTGTGGGAGGTTGTGGTGGTGGAGGCCCTTCAGCTACTGGTGGTCCATGATATTCATCATAATGCAAATATAATGATAGCTACTGTAAGTTTGTAAATGAACTGACTTGCTGCTTTTTGAGACAAAAAGCAAACCTGCAGAAAAAGTTGTGAGATGTGAGTGTGAGTGGAGAAATGGCAACTGAAGCTAAATGTAAACTTAAATAGTTTTAGAACAGGAAACAGATCTTTGTAATCTTCACTAATGATTAATGATTAGCTATTATAGGCTATGAATATAATTAATGATTCAAAAATTATAAGAAATAATTGTTTGAAAACTGTTTTTATAATGTGGTAGGTCTTCTTATAGTTCTTATTTCAAAATTCTTTTCTTCCTTTAGCAATTGATACCTAAGGCAAAAATTATAATTATTAATAAAAAGGATTATTAATTAATTAATAATGATGAATGATAATGAGCTAGGCTACGAATATAATAATTAATGATTCAATAATTCAAGAAATTAATAGTGTCTTAAATTTTTATCAACAATAATAAGAAAATGCTATATCTGTTATGGGTACTCTTCCTAAGCTATCCTATCCTTACTCTTTCTTCCTCTCTTAAGTTATTGTTTTTGTATTGTTTATTTTTCTTCCCTTTTTGTGTTTTTTGTTTTTTTTTAATTTTTTTCTTCTTTTCTCTTTTGTCCTTCCTTCTCCTTTCTCCCCCTTATTATTGTTGTTATTATCATTGTTATCGTTGCTGTTGTTATTGTTATTGTTGTTTTTACTATTGTTATTATTATTATTATTATTATTGTTATTGTTATTATTATTATTCTTTAATTATTATTATTATTGTTATTGTTATTATTATTATTCTTTAATTATTATTATTATTGTTATTATTATTATTGTTATTGGGGCTAGCAAAAGCGAGCCCCACATAGTCGAGTCAAGTATGTATGTTTGTTTGTTTGTACACGTACGTCACCTCTATTTATGCGTCTATAAAAAATAATCACTTTTTAAAATAATTTTGATAATTACGGTACCACATGCAAAAACAAAGAGCAACTTTAGTAATCACTGGACGAGAGGAGTTCAAGAAACAAGAGTATTCGAAAAACAAGAGAAGCTGAAGCTTAAAACATGAGTAATTCACAAGAAGATGCTCGTCAACTTCTTCATAATGAGCGTGAGGAGGAGAAAAGAGCAAGGAGGTCCAATACGGAGTAATGCTAGAGATGGTCTTGTAAGTTGTCACACCCAAAGACAACAAATGGAGTCTCCTTCTGGCTTCTAACTGCAGAGATTCTTCACTCAAAGCTAGGAACTATGAAATTCCTTTCATGCTTGCAAATTCTGCATTGACATCGACATTCAACATTTAATAGCCACTTCATCATTGTCGATCATTGTCTATATAAACATTGTATATTGCTAATAGAAATGTTAATTGTTTTGCTCGCCCCTCAATGTTTTACATTCGCCTAGTTATTATTATTATTATTATTATTGTTGTTATTGTACTTTGATGTACTTTTATTATTAATAATTTTATAAACTAATTAATTATTAATAAAATTTAATAAAAAGTATGGAAACAAGTAATAAAAGAAATTTCTCTTAAATAAGAAAAAGTAGGGTTGTCAAAAAATAAAAGAAACAAGGGGGCTAAGTTCAACCATAATAATAATTAATAGTTCAATTAATAATAATAAACGTTAATTAATTAAAAAATAATTGATATAAATAGTACAGATTTCATACCCTACTTTGCATAATTTTATGAAGGACCTTTAAAATGACAAAATTTAATGAAAGAATGATAACCAGAATGCTTAGTTCCAGCCAACACAACTGTGGTGAGTAAATTCTTATACATTACTATTTTAATTTTTAGATATTTTACCGAGTCACAAGCATTAAAAAATGCAATAGCCAAACAATTATCTATAATTCAGAGGTTTTAATTGCCATGACAGTACTTTATTTAATCAATACTGGCTTAAGTTAAATTTATATTTAACAAGGTAATAATTTACATCATAGAAATGTTGTAGAGCAATCAATAAAGGCATAATTATTATTAATATTCTATTTCTGCCTCTTATAATTTTCTGCAACGGAGGGTTTGATATCTTTGTATTATTTT